TTAGGTGTCTATGTCATTACCTTTGTCCTAAGCATAAATGTGTATACAAAGTTTGAATGATGTTGCTTTGAGGCTTGATCTCCTCCTTTCAATTACGTTTTCGGATCTTTAACTTGATAGCATTATGACGCTGAAAAAGGTTGATACTTACAATAATCTCCACGGAATTATCCAATTACAAAATGTGATCTTACAAACCTTTAATTGGTGATGTATTTAAAGCACGTTTTTTAGAATTGTCATTGCGATGAGTCAATCCTCCCAACATTAGGGGGGATAAAAATAAACCAGAAGAACATTATGAAATCATTTGGCATATTCCATCATTATCTCATTTTGATCCTCAGACAAACCAATGTGAACTGAAAAGTCAAATGATCATTCATTTGCAAGACATTGCAAATAACTTACCTGTTGCATTCACCGACACAAATAAAGTAATAAAGTCACATGTGTCAGTTGCAAATGTACCAGTAAGAATTGTAGGACAATCAGGTAGCATAGCTGCAAATATCTAAGACATGCTTGAAGAGTGGTAGACCTATTAATGCAAAAGATATTGTCCCTAGAGGAAGAAGAGAGGAAAAGAGAGAGTAAATAAATAAGTTAATACTCTATAAGAGAATAAAAAATCCAAAGTTTGTGCTCCTTAAGAGAAATCTCTATAAACTATGTGCACAATGGAAAAAATGTGATCGAAATAAATTTATTCTGGATGACCTTTTATCATTTATTGTTGCTCTTGATATTTTAAGATATGGTGAGGAGCCAAAACCAAAAACTATTGATGAATACCTACAGAGAAATGATTGGCCAAAATGGAAAGAAGCAACTCATGCAAAATTAAACTCACTAACAAAATGTATTTGGACCTATAGTCCAAACGCCACAATGAGTTGAACTCTTTGGACATATGTTCGTGAGAAAACGCAATGAGAAAAATAAAATTGTGTGGTATAAGGCATGACTTGTGGCACAAGGTTTCTCGTAGAGACCTGTTATTGATTACGAGAATACGTATTTTCTCGTAATTAATGGACGTAATTACAACGTATTTGTATGGTTCATTGAACAATGAGATATATATAAAAATCCCTGTAGGGTTCAAAATTCTATAAGCATATAATTCACAATCATGAAAGTTGTATTTCATTAAACTTTAATGATCATTGCATGGATTAAAACAATTAGGATGGGTGTGGTATAATAGCCTTAGTGAATATCTCTTGAAAAAGGCAAATGTCAATGATTTGATACGTCTATTATTTTTATTAAAAGATCTAACAATTAATTTGATATTATTGTTATATATGTTGATGAATTAAATTTAGTAGGTATTCTAAAAGAGCTCACAAAAGATGTCAACTATTTAAAAAGGGAGTTTGAGATGACCTTGGACAAACAAAATTTTGTCATAGCCTACAGAATGTACATTTATCCAATGGAGTTTTTGTTCATCAATCAACATACACATAAAAGGTTCTGAAATAATTCTACATGGATAAATCTCATCCATTGAGTTCATCAATGGTCGACTGATCATTAGATACAAATAAGGATCCATTTTCATCTTCTAGAAGAAGGTGAAAAATTTCTTGGTCCTAAAGCACTATATCTCAGTGCAATGGGTGCAATAATGTATTTTGCAAATTGTACACAACCAAACATATTGTTTGCAGTTAACTTATTGACAAGATATAACTTAGCACCAACTCGAAGGTATTGGAATGAGATCAATCATGTATTATGGTATCTTTGTGTACGATGGACGGTTATTCTATACGAGTGACCAAATTTCGTAGTTAGTTGAATATGCAAATGTCAGTTAGTTCTCTGATCCACACAAGACTTGATCACAAATTGGATATTTGTTTACTCATGGTGGTATAACTGTATCATAAAAATTAGTTAAATAAAAAATGGTTGCTACATCAGCCAATCACTCCAAAATATTAGTCATCCATAAAGCAAGTCAAGAATATATTTGGCAAAGATCAAGGATCCAATATATTTAAGAGCAAAGTGTACTATCTTTAATCAAAGACATTCTAACAATATTATATGAGGACAATACATCTTGTATCGCACTACTTAAGGAAAGATATATCAAAGGTGATAGAACAAAGCAAATCTCACCAAAGTTCTTTTACACCCATGAGTTAGAGAAGAATTATGATATTAATGTTCAACAAATTCATTCGACTGAAAATCTGATAGATTTATTCACTAAAATAAAGCACCTACTACATTCTAGACATTGGTGAACTAAATTAGAATGTGGCGTCTCAAAGATATATCAAACTGAACAATCATTATTTTGATCAAATGTATTCAATAAGGGAAGACATGTACTCTCTTTCCCTTTGCTAAGGTTTTTCTCCACTAGGTTTAAGTCTTTTAAAACTTTGTCTCCACCGACAGTCTTTTGCTTGGCTGAAGTTTGCCTATAGGAAGAAGGCTCCTGATTTGAATGAAATACACATACCAACACACCAAAGAAAGAAAGCTATTTCTCTATATTCTCTCGGGCCCCATTTGGTAATCTTTTTATTTTCATTTTTCTATTTTTGTTTTCATTTTTTGACAAAAACAAAAAACAAAAACAACAAAGTGTTTGGTATTTTTTTTGTTCTTTTGTTTTTTTTTTCATCTAATTTGTTTTAAAACACAAGCCCGAAATTTGCAAACCAAATTTGGTGTTTGCAAAAGCACCAAAAAATAGGAATCACTTGCGCGCCTCTGCCCCATTAATGAGATCTCCTCTTCGAACCCCTTTAGCAACAAAATCGAACGAATATTGTTGGAAGTATAAAAAGGTTTATTTTTCTCACTCTCTCTCTCCTTGCCACTCTTTGTCTCACAAAGAAGAAGCACTGTCTTCAACTCTATTGAAGCCAACAACAGATTTGCTCGTCTCTTTCTCATCTGTGTGTGTGTCTCTCTCTCATTTGTATTGATTTATTGTCCACACCACTACTCTTTTTCTTCTTCTCTTTCTTGTATTTCGTTGATATTGGTTCTCCACACTCGCCAGATTACAAAGATTAGAAGATCCAACAATATCGACACTCTCCAAGTTCTCTGCATCTCTTTGGAGGCTGTGTTCAATTCCACTTTCATCTCAATTTTCACTGAAATTAGGTCGATTTCTTTTTGTTTGCGCATGTAGGCTTGAAATTTAGAGGTTTACAATTTCATTTGGTTCAGAAAATAGGTTTTTGTCAAGATTAGAGGTCGAATTGGACACTTATTCTAATAGTTTCATATTTTATTTTCCTGTATTTGGAGGGTGTTTGAGGAAACTTGATCTGGTGAAATTGGTTCATATTTTTGGTACAAACCTGTGTTTGAGGTTGTTTATAAGTTTGTTGGATTATATCTTGGCTGTTCTAGTGTATATTTGAAGAAACTTGGTTGATGTGCTAAAGTTTGTGGCTTTGGGGCGTGGATGTTTAAGGTTTGTGCTGTGGCTTTGGGGCGTGGATGGCTGTTCCAGTGTAGATTTGAGGTTTGCTAGGTTATATAATTTCAGGTTTGCACTGTAGATATTTGATATTCAACATTGAAGTAGAATTTGTCATTTTTATTGGTTCAGTTACCAAGTGAAGTAAGATAATAGCTCAATTGGGTAGTTTTAGAGGATTGGTCTTGTGGGTTTGCAATAATTTTTGGTGGAGATATTTGTTTCGGGTGCAAATTTTGGGCTTTATAAGGAATTTTGATGTATTTTTTTTTTCAGAGTTTGTAAAACAAAAACTAAAACCAAACAAATTTTATGTTTTAACTTAAAAAAAAAAATTTGATTGTGGGACACCAACTCAATTTCTGCCGGTCGGCAGTCACCTTGAGGCTTTTGCTAGTTGGGACCCACCTTAGGAGGACCATGCCGTCGGCACCCAACTTTCCGAGGCGACCTTACCTCCAATCAAGCTACTCCCAATTCTTGCTTGCGTCACCATATGACGAAACAAGTATTACTCTAAAACAGTCTGATCAAAGAATAGGACTCAGTTATTCTAATGTTTTGTTTGGTAACAAGAGCGGAAAAGTAAGAGTAATATATCATTTATAGATGGAAAGTATGAATGATACATTTTTTTTCTTTTGTGTTTGATTGGATAGAAGAAAAATAAAAATAAAAAATTGTTTATTAAATTTTTTTTGTCAATATTAATGGTGAGGTAACAATCGAGTTGTGTCAGATTCGTATTGAATCATAAAATTATGAGCTTTTTATATTTATTGTTCTCGTGTTAGGTCATTTTCAAGTTCGTGTCGAGTTATAATCAAGTTTGTGTTGAGTTCGAGTAGTGTCATTGTGTTGAGTCGAAAATTTTCATCCCTAGTTAAGATGAATTTTTTTTTAATTTAATATTTTAATTTTAATTTTTTAATTTATATTTAATTTTATTTTTTTAAATATATATAAATACATATTTTATCATTATATTTTTATATGAAATTAATGTATACATAATATACATGTAAATAAGATACGTCTCAACACAAATAATTAACTTTTCATCCACTTTCCTTCCGATTTAAGAGGAATTGATTTTTGTGAATTATAAAAAAAGTTAATCCATCAACTTTTTCATCTTTCTTATTTCCCTTCCTTATCAAACATGATATTTTATTTATTCTTTTAACTTTTTATACTTCTATTTTTTCATCATACTAAATGGAATACTAGATTTTCTCTTGTCATGCAAGTTACTCAAAACTTTCTCACTGTCATCTCTGTTCGTATGATTTTGCCCACACACTGATTATGTTTTTTTTTTGAAAACATAAAAAAAAACAAAAACTTTGTTTTATAACAAATTTGAAATTTTAATTAGTATTGTAGGATCTTAAAGGGCCGAAAAAAAAAATCAAATCAAAATCAACATATTTTAGTAATTTAATAATTACTCAATATTATTTGTATTATCAAAATAAATATTAATACGGCCTACACGGGTCGAACCGCCCTTGCACTCACATCCAGTGTCAGTTCTATTCCCAGTTTCCTGCCTTCCTGGTCTCCCATTAGCCGTTAGATACGTTCTCGCTCGCTCGCTTGCTCGTTCGTTCTTTCTGCAGAGTTCATTCTAATGTCTGTAGCAATGCGGAGCCTAATTGCCCGGCGTGTGACCAAGCTCTGTGGTGGAATCTCCAACCCTCTGTCTCGAACATGGCTGAATCAAAAGAGGTCGTACAGTCTGATACCAATGGTTATAGAGCACTCGTCTAGAGGGGAGAGAGCTTACGACATATTCTCCCGACTCCTCAAAGAGCGAATCGTCTGTATCAACGGCCCCATTTCTGACGACACAGCCCACGTTGTGGTGGCTCAGCTTCTCTTCCTCGAATCCGAAAACCCCTCCAAACCCATCCATATGTACCTCAACTCCCCTGGCGGCACCGTCACTGCAGGTTTTTAATCTTTTATCTGAAGTCATTTAAACTTCTTGATTGTCAGAAAAAAAAAGAATCGTATTCAATTTAGTCCCCGGTTATGTGAGGGTTTTAGGAGGAATGAGTTGGGTATAGATCTTTATGTTTGTTTGTGATCCAAACATACTATCATTCAGGTGTCAACCCGAGTATTTTTATTTTTGCCCTAGGCTGAACTTGTTTCACAATTAAATTATAAATTCAGTTTGGCTCGGTTAATTGAGGACACTTGGAGGGATTAGACTGGGAGCAAGTTAGCATTTGGCCTAACCTTTGACGTTATATTAATTGATTGGAACCCATGATGTTTCGGTTGTTGTTGGACTACATATTTTAATTTATTGAGTAAATTATGAACTCTCATTAGTGAAATTCACTATGGTGAGTGCGCTGAGAAGGTATTGGTTTATGTAACAGATAGGTCAAAGTGGCTATTACTATGTTTCTTGTAGGATGGTTTGCAATATGGAGATAAACTAGTATTGGACCTGTGCGAGCGAAGTGTAAAACTGAATTATATAAATCTATTCTAACAATTGAAGTAAAATCAAGCAGAATACAAAAGATAAGAGATGATGTATTATAGGATGGATTAAAAAAACAAACTTTTAACAAAGCGAATATAGATGTAAATCATGCATACATCTAGGATTAAAACCCAACTACATAAACAAATCTTATGTCTCCAAAAGTAATGTTTTTAAAATAAAATGACACAAAACTTCGATATCCATAAAAATATAATGCATGTGATACTAATCACCATTGCTAGCCATAAATTTAGAACTTAACATACTGTAAAATTATGCATCAACTGAACACACACAAATGAGCAAAAAAAAATATTGAACACACACAAATCCCCCCCACACCCTCCCCCAAACCCATTTTTATTAGCACAAAACACAACCATATATGTGCACAAACCCCCCCCCCCCCCCCCCCCCCCTCTTCCTTCTTCACACACAAATATATTGAGAAACACAACAAAAGAAAGAAGGCACAGGGAGGGAGAAAGAGAGAGTAAACGTCTGTCACAAACAGGGGAAATGTTTCTTGAAGCACAACGAAGAAAAACAACTCATCACTTCACATTATCTGGATCCAAAGAACCAGTCAAAATATGATATATCGGTCATATCATTGTAGCAATTGAAGTCTAAAAAGAAAGGTTGATTGACAAAAAAGAAATAATTTACAAGATATGATCTATCTGAATCTAAAGTATCAATTCCAACAAACACATAGAGGGAGGGAGAGAGTTATGCAGATGGTCTTCTGTTATGGGATATGCATGACTGAGTTAGTGCAGATTTTGAAATGGAAGGAGTGGGTAGCAGAGATGTGGAGTAGTGGAAAAGTAAAATTTGAATTAATTTCCAAATGGCAGCAGAGTATTGGTGGATTAGTAATTAAATTATTAGGTAAAAATACACGTGGCATCAGATGTTAGGTTGAGTAGTAATAAAATAATTAAAAAACAAGAGAATTAGAGAAAGTTGGAGGGAAGGAGGCAGATTGAGTTTCAGGCTGAATTTTGTTTGTTTTATATTATAGTAAGATGTGTTGAATTTGTAATCTGAGATAGAATCGAATTTTGTTACTTATTATTTTTCTTTGAGTAATTTTAATGACATACAGCCAATAATAGTTTGTGGTACACTGTCAACTGCATAGTTAATGATGCTTTTGGTTTGTTTTCCTGTACACAGGGCTCGCAATTTATGATACAATGCAGTACATTCGATCCCCAATTAATACTATATGCATGGGTCAAGCTGCATCCATGGCTTCTCTTCTCTTGGCAGCTGGTGCAAAGGGTGAGAGACGGTCTCTCCCTAATGCGACAATTATGATTCACCAGCCTTCAGGTGGGTACAGTGGGCAGGCTAAAGATATGACTATTCACACAAAACAGATTGTTCGGGTTTGGGATTCACTGAATGTGTTGTATTCAAAGCATACGGGACAGTCCGTAGAGATAATTGAGAAAAATATGGATCGGGATAACTTTTTGACTCCAGAAGAGGCCAAAGATTTTGGGATAATTGATGAGGTCATCAATCGAAGGCCAATTACTCTGGTGACTGACAATGTTGGAAATGAAAGCAAAGATAAAGGTTCTGATTAGGATTTGAGTTTAAGGTGCATTCTCTCTCTCTCTCTCTATCTCACAGCTTCCTGGGGTTTTCAATTTCTGTTTGAGCGTTATGATATGTCATTGTTAAATCTTCATTAAATTGAATTTTCTCCACCTTCCCGTTCCCCTATCATAATTTCTTTGTCTTAGTTTAGGCCTTTAAATTTTTTTTGTTCAATTCAAATATTTAGCTGCCGGAGGCCCCAAGTCTTGAAGCAGTATACTTTAGGCAAGTTCAGGTGTCATTGTGTGTTGAATGGGCAAACAATTGGCAGGTTGGTTGTAAGTGCATTGTAGCTTAATGCTGGCAGTTGAAACTTGCCCTCTTTTAATAAAACTTTGCAGGGTTAGTAGCACAATTGTGTTGGATACACATTTGAATTTTTCTGATTTATCCTCACTCAGTTTTATAGGCTGGCTTTCATTAGGAATGATGCATGGAAGATGTGTTGGCTTGTGCGTTTTTTGTTCTTTGTGTTCTTTGTTGTATATCATTTGTTTTTTTCTGTTAAAAAAGAATAGAAAATAATAAGAAAACATAGTTGCAGTGTTGGTGCAATGCTTCCCTTTTCTGATAATGGATTCTGAGCTATATTGTTCCTATCTTTTTTGTACTAGTTCTTCAAATTTATACCTCTAGTGTTGAAACAATTTCTCACTGGTAAGAAATTATATTAATCCAAAAATTGCCCAATTAAAATTCAATTTCACTAATTGTGAAATTGATCAACCTATATGGTAAGTGCCAATGTGGATGAATATGATATTGTATATGTGGGAGTAAATAAGTACAATATAAAGTAAAGAGAGAGCGAGGAGGAATCAAACACAGTAATTTATAGAGGTTCGATCCCAATATTTTGGCCTACGTCCTCTCTTACTTCTCCCCTTGGAGGTTCCTTTTCTCTTTCTTGAATCTCTTCAATAGGTGAGATTCCAACACCTTTACACTTGTTCTTCCTTGAGTACAATACAAAGATTCCTCTCCTAAAGGATTCACTCAAGAAGAATACAATAATCACTCTCTCTTGTTTCTCAAGAATATTCTCTCAAATCAATAGAGGAACACAAGAAGAATGAATGTTCCCTTAAAGCTTACAACAATCCAAATCACTCGAGAATAAAAAATAAATCCTGCTTTGGCTTTTAGTACATAAGTTCAATGTGCAAGAAGTCCTAACAAATGCCTTTAAGTCCTCTATTTATAGTGGGGGACAAAGGCTTTTCAAAATGCAGCTTTTTGGCTAAAACGTTCATCTTGCTGGATCCTCATCTGGTATACTGGATTGTGACTGTTGGTGTCTAGTGGCTACATCCAGTATATCAGATTGCTTGTCCGGTATGCCGATTCATCAGTCTTCATCAGGGTTGGCCAGATACTGGGTGGTTTTGAGCTTTGCTAGTTCCCCTATCGGTATGTTGGTTTGTTAGAGGCACTTTGCTGGTTCATCAAGAGGCCATCAGGTTGAAATACTGAAAAGTCTTGAGTTTTGCCAATTACCCAATCAGTATGCTGGTTCAGCCAATCGGTATACCGGACACTCTGTCTGCAAACCAATTTTTTTATATTTTCCTCCTTTCTTCTTCCTACCAATTATAATCCAAGCATTACACATCTAATCCACACATTAGATCATACTTAGATGATTATCATCATCAAAATAATGCTTAATCAAGAATTGGGTCAACATTTTTCCTCTTTTTGATGATGACAAACATCTTTGAGGAATAGAAAATGAATACCATTATTTTTAGCCAACTATGCCCCCCTAAGCAGGAGCATATAATTTAGTAGCATTTTGTTCATGAAGTAATGCTCCCCCTTAATTTGTGCACATATCAAAATGTTACAAAGACAAATTTGTTGGTGGTATTATATATGTATGTGTTTATCTTTTTTAAATTCTTGATGTATCAAATTTGATATTCATGTAGAATATACTATCTACATATATTTCTCCTCCTTTGACATCATAAAAAATGTAGAAAGTATCAATCACTTGTCAAATATAAGAGGATACCAATTCAACATGCATAATACTCAACAATTATAGTTTTATCATAAGCATAGAGAATTATGCATTACATTAAGAAAAAAAAACCATTATAAAAACCATTCATTTTTAAGACTTGGGCACAACTATATCCGGGGGCAATGTACTCGGTTTGGACTGTTGACAAGACAACCGAGTTTTGTTTCTTGTTAAACCAAGAAAGAAGTAAGTGCCCAAGGAATTGGCAAGTCCCACTAGTAGTTTTCCGGTCAACTTTGCATCTGAAAAGTCCACATTAGAGTAGTTAATGAGTTCAAAAGATGAACCCTTTGGATACTATAAACCTAAGTTTGTGGTACCACCAACATATCTAAATATCCTCTTTATGGCATTCAAATGTTATTCCTTAGAATTAGCTTGAAACCTAGCACATAAGCATTCATAAAACATAATATTGGGTCTAATAGTAACGTAGAGCAAACTAAGCCTCTATAAAGCTTAATGCCTACATTTTTTTCTTTTTCATCGTTTTCAAGCAGTAGGGAAGTGCTCATGGGGGTGCCATAGGATTTAGAGTTTTCTAGGCTAAATTTCTTTAGTAAGTCCTTAGCATATTTAGATTGGCTTATGAAAATTCATTCTTTTCCTTGTTTAATTTTCAAATTCACTACTCATGTATTTAGCAAAATCTTTACATAATTTCTCATTTGTAGCACCAAATATAATATCATCCACATATATTTGCACAACAAGTATATCATCATGTATATATTTTGTAAAAAGAGCAGTATTAACTTTTCCCATAGAAAAACTATTATCTAAGAGAAACTTACTAAGTCTTTCATATCAAGCTTTAGGTGCTTGTTTCAATCCATATAATGCCTTAGTGTATTGGATTATAAGCATCTTCAAAACTGGGTGGTTGCTCTACATGTACTTCTTCCATGATGAGACCATTCAAGAAAGCACTTTTGACTTCCATTTGATATAGCTTAAAATCTTTGTAATAAGCATAAACAAGCAACATTCTAATGACTTCTAGTCTAGCTACGGGTGCAAAGGTCTCATCATAATCTATCCCTTCTTGTTGATTATAATGTTGTGCAACTAATCTAGCCTTGTTTCTAGTTATATTTCCCTCTTCATCTTACTTGTTTTTGAACACTCATTTTGTTCTTATTATGGATGTGTTTCTAGGTCTAGGGACAACTTCCCATACTTCATTTCTCGTGAATTGATTTTTAGCTCTTCTTGTATAGCCATGATCCATGATTTATCATTTAATGCTTCACTTATGTTTTTGGGCTCTATGTGAGACAAGAAGGTTAAGTTATTACACATGTTTCTAAGACTAGATCTAGTTTTGACTCCTTGTTAGGGATTCCCTATGAATTGTTCTGAAGGATGATCTATAACTTTTCTATATTCATTTGAAAGTTTTTGTGAGGAAGTCTCATTGATGTTATCAACTTGAATATCTTCTTCTTTCTTATTATCATGGTCATCATCTACATGAAGTTGATTAAATTAGAAATTTAGATCTCTATCATTATTAATGTCATCCTTAATTTTAATTGTCAAAGGATCCGATTCATCAAATACAACATGCATAAATTTTTCAACACCAAGAGTTCTTTTATTGAAAACTCTATATGCTTTGCTATGTGTGTAATAGCCTAAGAATATGGCCTCATCGGAATTGACATCAAACTTACTTAGATGATCCTTTGTATTAAGCACAAAACATTTACAACCAAAAACTTTCAAGTATCCAATCTTAGATCTTCTATTGTTTCATAACTCATATGGGGTCTTTTTAATAATAGGTCTAATTAGAGCTCTATTAAGGATATAGCATGAACAATTAACGGCTTCACGCCAAAAATACTTTGGTAAACTATATTCATTTAATATGGTTCTACTCATCTCAATAAGTGTTCTATTATTCCTTTCAACTACACTATTTTGAGGAGGTGTTGTAGGTGTCGAGAATTCATGTTCATAGCCTTTATGTAGACAAAAATTTTCAAATTTGTGTTGATCAAACTCTCCCCCATGATCACTCCTACCCTGAGTAATAAAGTACCCTTTTTCATTTTCAACTCTCTTAGAATAGTTTTTAAAGGTTTATATGACATTATCTTTGTGTCTAAGACAATAGACCCATATATATCTAGAGTAATTATCAACAATGGCAAACACATAGCTTTTGTCATCAAGACTAATTACATTTGAGGGACCAAACAAGTCTATGTGAATTAGTTCTAAGGGTCTAGAGATAAATATGATATTCTTAGACTTAAAAATGCTCTTACATTGTTTCCCTAGTTGATATGGTTGACAAAAATTGTCTTTTTGAAATCTAATTTTGGGCAAGTCATCTATCAAGTCTTTCGTAACAAGTTTGGAAAGTGTGTCCATGCTACAATGCCCTAACCTTTTATGCCAAAATTGTGACTCATTTTTTACTAAGGCCAAACATTTGACATTTTGATCATATAAATCATCAAGATCCACAACATATACATTTTCAATTCTTTTAGCGAATGTAATTGTCTATAATGCTTTCTACTTTGCAAGTGTTTGCTTTAAATATGATTCTATAACCCTCATCACATAATTGACAAATACTAAGTAGATTATGCTTCAAGTCATTCACCAACAATATACACTTTCAATTTGGAGGGGTGATTTCTTACCAACATTACCAATTCCAATGATTTTTCCTTTGGCATTGTCTCCAAAGGTAACATATTCACCCTCCTCTTTTGATAGTTGAGCAAATTTTATTATATTGCTTGTCATATGTCTTGGGCATCCATTATTAAGGAACCACTTGTTGGTTTTGCGAGTAGACTCGAAACACACCTACACAAATGAATCAATAATTGATCTTTGGTACCCATTTAGTCTTGGGTCATTCAAAGTTAGAGAATGCTTTATGCATGTACCTATTTTGATGTGATCTTCTAGCAAAGTAATTGTATGCAAAATGTCTTACTTTAAGACAATAA